GTAGGTTCGTTTGTGGTCTGCTAAAGTTAAGCCAATGTGTCTAAGAAGATCAATGAGGTTAGATGGTTGAGGGTTGACCAGCTTTTCACATATAATTTACTAATTTTAGTACAACGAATAAAAATCAATAGGCTACCTACTTATCTACTAAAAAGGCTGGTACCACGTGGGTATCTCAATTACAGGAATCTCAGACATAACTCTGACTTCAATATACCTAGTTATAGGAGCAACATTTTCCATCGTAGCTTCAAATAGAACGCTGTCAAGGTGTATAATAGTCTTAATGATAAGTACAAAAAGAAGGGAACACTTGCATTCAAGAGAGCCATTAAGAACCATCTTCTGGGGTCTGCTAGCCAAGCTGGCTGATATACTTATTTTTTTTGTCTTTATTGTTTTTTTTTGTTAGAGAGGGCTATGTAGAATAGATGTACAACATATTAAGATTAATCTATTTAAGCCTTAATTATTGTATATATTATTTAGTCGATTGATATTCATTGTTATATCTTTCTTTTTGTATGTGAGGTTAAGTGGTAGAGTAGCCTCGCCTCGCAGTGTGGATGGATTAATAAAGACATTATTATTATTATTATTTTACATCACATTAGAGCCAAAGATTGATAGCAAGCCTCATGACGTTTAGGCAACACGTACAACTAAGTGCTAAGTTAACATCTTGTAGAAAAACCTACATGTCAAAAAAAAAACAGCATAATGTCAAAAAAAATCAGCATAATGTCAGTTTTCAAAATACATGATACCCGTGCCGAGCCTAGACTAAGGAAGGTTTTGATATGGCGGTTCTGTTAACGCGCTGGGTTGTCAGATGGGACGTAATTTCCCCAGAACAAACAAAAATCACTCGGAATACGTTTAAAAAAAATCCCCCAAATCACCGTTGAAAGGGTTAGGTTTGGTTCAGAGGGCAATACGTCCTCCAGAACATATCCAAAAAACTTCCCATGTATAAATCACTCAGATTTGGGACAAAGCCTCCCAATATTGCAACCCTGTCAGAGCACCACTGGTACCTCAGGCTTTAAGATTTGAGGTCGTATTTACATAATGAACAGCACTGCCGTACTTTATCCTGGTATACAGGGAAAACCAAATTTGTCTGATGGTTCAATGTGTACGAGAGAGAATCGCAAGAAGTGTGTATCAGCGTATGTTGCCTAGCAACGGTGATGCAGAATATCATGGAATCTGTCCCGTTGCCAAATGTTACACCAGAAAGTGTTAGCACAGGCTGCTTCAATAGGTTAGAAGGAGGTCTGTTCGAACATCTGATTTAATATTTTGTTTTTATTTTGATTCCATTTATTTCAATTTTGATGCGACTTAGTGTTTCAGTTTATTTTAGAATTATCTTTGATTTTCAAGAGTGGTGATAAAATCAACATTCCCGAGCGGTCGGAAAATGTAACAAATCTCATTACGCAACATATATTATCACTGGCTGCGTGTACGCAGGTGAAAACCAAGCAAGACGACACTCCCCAATAATTAGCGCTAGATGGGTACTGACCAAAATCGCTCATCTACAGTATATTCAGATAAGAGATAGACCGGATGTAAACAAAAGGTTCGGGTGATTTTCACGCTAACGCCGCCGTCTCGACGTAAAACAGGAGCCCTCATTGGTCAATTCGCAATTAAATGCCTATGCCGAGCGGCAGAGCAGTCGTATCAAGGCAGAGTCACATTCAGGTTCAGACATGTTACGTATGTCGTGTGCATCATTGCAATTTGATATTTCTTTGGACGTTTTCGTTTGTTATCTTATTAAGTTGTTGAGTTTGTCGTTGTTATTGTTATACCTTGTTATTGATTGTTATTGTTATCAACTGCTTGCGCAAAATGCCCAGTAGTACAGATACTGCCGATGAAGTTGTAAACTCCTGTAGTCCACCTAGGAAACGCTCTAAAAAAAGACACCTGAGTGCAGAAATGAAAGAGGTCATTTTGAATATATATAAGATCGAGCGCGAGGAGAACGAGGCATCAACCATCAAAGAAATTGTTGTGAAGGTTTCTCACAAAGTTGGGGTGTGTCGCGTATCAGTGTTTAATGTGTTAAGACAATACAAAAAAAATCACACCTTTTCTGAGCCAATGACCAGTAAACATCGCCAAAGTATTGTTAAATCATTGGATGAAGCTGATAAGCATGCGATTAGGAGGAAAGTGCATGAATTCTTCTTTAGGAATGAAATACCTACTATAGATAAAGTACTGCAGGAGGTAAATGGAGATACAACGTTGCCAAATTTCAAACGATCAACTTTCCATGCGTTACTGAAGCATTTAAATTTCAAATGGAAAAAACGGGGTCGTAATAGTTTACTACTGGATAGAGAAGAAATTGTGCTATGGAGGAGGGATTATTTAACAAAAATTGGGAAATATAGAAATCAAAACAGGAAGATTTATTACCTTGATGAAACGTGGGCAAACGCAGGACACACTACAAGTAAAGTATGGGTTGATGATTCTGTAACTTCATCCAGGAGGGCCTTTCTAGATGGACTGTCCACCGGATTAAAAAATCCAGCAGGTAAATACGAGTAATAGACAACAATCGGATGTTTTTCAAACCTTGGGAACAAGGTTCTAAACATTAATTCCAGGGGGCAGATAAAACACATTACAAGTAACAAAACTTTTATAACTTTCGATAAAATGCGTGGATGTTTTATTGTCATTTTCATTTGTTAGAACTTTTTTATGTGTTTTCGATATTTCAATAATTTTTTAATATAATCTTAAAATATGTCGAATATTATAAACTTAAAAAAAGTTACTAAGTTTTATATTGTGTACCGTTCCTAATATTTCTAATCATTTTAATTCATACTTTAAGCTTTATAAAGTTATAATTTGTTAATATTAATATTTGCGCGTATTTCAGGTTCCTGATCATTCATTTTTTAAAGGTTTATAACTTTAAATTAAATTGTGAAGCGCTGAGTAATCATACGATGTTCAATATTCTTTCTTTCAATATGACTAAATAATCCCAATTATAGCAATCTGATACTCATGTCTCAATGTTTTTTCGCTGAATGTGATGAAAACATTTGAAAAAGGTTCGCTTATTGAAATAAATCTACACCAGTTAGTACTTCGATTTCCAGGTAAAGGGAAAAGGCTCATTATCTGCCATATTGGCAGTGAGGATGGATTTGTTGTTGACGGTCTGTGGTGCTTTGAGTCTAAGAAAACTGGAGATTACCACGAGGAAATGAATGGCGAATCGTTTGAACAGTGGTTTTCAAAAATTTTACCGAACTTAGAGGAAGACGCAGTAATTGTGTTGGATAATGCGCCTTATCATTCTCGAAGAATGGAGAAGGTCCCAACAACGGCTTCAAGGAAAGTTGATGTTCAAAATTGGCTCCGCTCGAAAAATATCAACTTTGAAGAAGCAATGCTGAAAGTACAATTATTAAGAATTGTCAAGGATCACAAGGCGGAATATCAAAAATACGCCATTGACGAAATGGCAGCAAGTCAAAATAAAACTGTGCTCTGTTTACCTCCATACCATTGCGAGCTCAATCCCATTGAGCTCATATGAGCAGAGGTTAAAAATTATATAGCTAAGCACAATACAACTTTTAAATTTTGTGACCTCAAAGGACTTTTCAAAGAAGCACTAGAATTAATAACAGCGCAAAAATGGGAAAACTGTATTAAGCACGTGAAAGACAAAGTTGAAAAGAGAATGTGGGAACTGGACAATATTTTAGAGGAACAAGTCGAGCCATTCATTATTGACGTTGGTGCTTCAGGCAGTAGCGATGATGAAAGCTCATCAAGCTCATCTTTCCAATAAAAGATGTCGTTCATCAAATTCGGTAAGTTATAAGTAATTATAAAGCTACTGTATTTTTTAATTAATTATTGACATTTTTGAACCCATTTTGGCAAAAAGTATTCAAGAATCTACTTTCTGACAATGTTCAACCATGCACATTTTTTTACGTTTTGAACGTTTTAATTTGGTTACATATTTACCTAGAAATCAAAAAATATACTAATTACGTAAACAATCGGACAAATATTAACAGGTCTACACTTGTTTGAAAACGAGGGACAGAACTTATGGCATGACTACGTATGATCATAGAGGTGGAAGCCTTGCCTTGACATGTTCGAGATGCGGTGTTACCAAGCGAACCAATGATGCAATGTTGCAGAATTAGTGGCGAACCTGAACTTTCATTTCGACCCAAAATGGAGCGCCATTAGGACTGATCAGGAAAGAACCCTAAACAGATTCAACATAATAACAGTAATATGTACGCTCGAAATAAAACCATTATGTGGTCGTAGAGAATAAGCTAACGTATATTTTCAATACAATTCAAGGAGTGTGACATATTGGCAACCTGTCAGATTGCTAGGCTTCGCTATCCAGGCGGCTTCTATCTGTTTCTCACATATGTGTCTTTAAACACTTCTCTCTCGTACACACTGAACTCAAGCCATCAGATAAATTTGGTTGACAGCGTATGTTTGAATTGCAGTGTTTGTCATCAAAATTGCGTAGTTCATACTTTTGACTCCTTTGCCTACCTTGCCAATGCTTACCAAAGTGACAGCGTTCTATCAAAATTATAGTACTTACCGGTGGAAACATCTACCTTTATGTAAGAAGTACTTTTAAAAAATAATACTAAATATACGAATTCAAAGACAGAATCCTCAAAAAATTATTGACCTAAGTCAAGTGCACTTAGATCCTCGCTACAGACTATAACAATTAGGAGACAAACAAATCCTTGACTGGCTCTTCCTACCTAGTCTGAATTCACTGGTTTGCACAGTGTGGAATTTTCCAGACGAAACGTAAGTTCCGTACATGCTACATTTAGTTGATCTGTTTACTTTTTTCGTATGACATTGATGACGTAACCGCTAAAAATCATGAAGAGACCTTTTGATGACGCTAAGGGAGGAGGGGAGGGAATAAAAAATGAATCACAAACTACATCGAGAAGAATTGGATTATTTTTTTATTCTTCATTATCCGTTGAAACAATCAAATAATCTCCGAAATAAAAATTCAGAAGGGAAAACTAAAACAAAAAACTATACTTTTTATATTTTACTCAACTGAAACGCAGATTTCTGACTAATTTGCTGCACAAGGTTGCGGAATCTTTCAGCGGGAGTTTTTCCATACACTCCCCACCATACAAACTGGTCCACATAGTCCGCTATTCCAGGCGACGAGACGGTCACCAACCGCCGGAGGAACTGCTTCAAGGAACCTTTAAGTCCATCAATATAACCTGGGCTCACGTCCATCTGCTTGACGCCTGAGTCTAAGTTTTTCTTGTGTATGTAAGGAGATACACCACCAAGATGAGCTAATCCAGAATAACCGTTCCAACTATCTGTCCATATCTCTGACCCAGGTACCACGAACTTCAAAACATTGTATTCCAATGTTTCTGCGTCTCTATCGGGAATATATATGAGATGTGCACGTTCAGCCGTCGCATCGTATATGGCCATAATCCATTTTTCGGGGTGTTTGTGACCGGAAATTTGTACTGGCTTGTTGATGACGAACTCGTCGATGTGGACAATGTGTCCATCGCCACCTGAAAATGATATCGCGAATCAAAGCGGTTGAATTAATACAAAAAATAAAGCATATAATGGGACAACACAATCACAGGCTGAACAGGATCTACACCGAAGCGGCCGCGCAGGCAGACGCCTGAATGACAAGAATTTGTCCCCGATAGCACGAAATATTTATTCAATATTTAACAATATTTTGATTTTATTTAAATATTTGGATTATAACATTCTTAATAAATATTTAAACAATATGTTTTACTTATTTTAAATCCAATATTTCTTTTATAATATTTTTCACATATTTACTTTCCAATCAATGGAAAATATAAAACTCCATTATTTAGAAAATATTCATTAAATACTTTTGGCTACGGCGCATGTTCGTGTGACTCCGAGCGACCAATGGCATAATGGCAAGCCGATCTGAACCGACACGGTTACCAGCTTCCATTTTGCCTGTGTGTTTAACTGTGATAGCGTGCTCGTGTGTACCTCCAAGTGGTACATTATTCGAGTGTTTCTTCGTGGAAAAAGGTAAGTTTTGCGATAATTACTTATCTTAATTTATCTGACTAGTAAATTTTATTCTGCCAGTTGAGTATAAAAGGTATTTACAAATTTAAATATTTGATATATATTTGATTTTATTGTGAGTTGGCCGCGGTATTTTTGTCTTAGTAGGAAGCAAATCAGCTATAACTATTTTAAAATTTCAAGTTCAACAGTGCTTCAGAATATTTTTAATGATAATTTTTTAGAAAATTGAACCATTTACTACATCTAGGATGGTCTTTCTTTACAAACCCAGAACAGCATTCCTACAGTTTTTGCAAGAATAACCAATGAAGCATTTTTAAGAATGAGAATACATTGGTAATATGTATCAGATTGATGCTTCTAAATATGTTGCTTGATATATTTCCTAAATATTTACGAAAAATATCAGATATATCATCAAAACATAAAACTCATATTTAAAAATGTTTCCTCATATATTTTCTAAATTCTTGTAAAAAATATCGGGGGGGGGGGGGGGTTAATCCGATTTTTGAACTGCCCAATGTTAGTAGAACTGTACATGTGTAGAAAAGTACCTCCTAGCCCTAAACAAATAGCCCAGCTTTATCCCAACATCCATGATATCACTCACCATAAACGAAATCGTCATTTCTTTCTAGCTCCCAAGAACATATTTCTCTAAATTTCCTGAACATTTTCGTAACGGTTGCCAGGCGAAGCCCTAGCATCATTGATGCACATCCAGCTCGTGTCTCACAGACCCATGTCCACATTAGGAATATTATATCACCTATGTCTAACTTGACCTCTTCGAAAAAAGAGCCATTCAATACAGAGGTTTTGGTGCGACATGTGGGACATCTGAAACACATACCTAATTCAGGAATACATATAAGATTCGTAAGCTGACGAAATTCACAACTGACTGCTTGACTTTAAAATGTGTCAGATTCTTCTTTAATTTCGATGAAACCTTGTACGTATGTCGCTGGGTTTTCCTAGGTTGGACCCCTGACATTTATTACTTCAACAAATGACTTTTATCGATAAGTAAGACGCCAAAATACAAGAGTCGAATTAAAAAAATACGAAATATAACCCATTTTTACCCGACAGCCCCAGGAGTGTTGTTTTTCGTGCGTGGGTATGTATGTATCTATATATTCTATTTCACGGGCTATAGACTAAACTGCTTGATGGATTTTGATACACATGAGGTGTTGTATAATAAAATTTTATAAAAACAAAATATCGGATTTTAATAAAAAAAAATCTTGACAGGCCTATAACGCAACGGCGTTATGTAGAAGAGCTCCAAGCAACATCCGTTGGCATATCGGTAGCAGAGAATAAAAAATAATCTGCTATTCAACAACGCCATCTGGTGTGATTGATTCAAATATGCTGTAATTAACAGACATCGGGTCCCCTAATACGTACTAGGTTCCGACAAAATTTTATCATAATCCTACAAGTATGATACTAGGTATTTTAAAAGTAAACTATTGACATTTGAATTTCTCTAAAAGTCTTTATGGAGGTTTCGGCTAGTACACGATTTTCAGCGCAATCTGGCAACGTGGCACTAACATCGCTCATTCCGCTCATGGGCGTATGTGAGGGGAGGGTGAAGGATATTTAAAACAGTGTTTATCTTTACATCGTTGTTTTTATGGCAAATGAAATCCTCGCCTTTACTGGCATAAGTGTTCTTTTGTTGAAATTTTTCATCATCATTTTGCATAAATATGTGCTTGAATGTCGTTAAGGCAGCGTTGCAATTTCCTTCTACCACGAATGGTCTTATTGAAACTTCACGTTATCCATATCAATATCATCCAATTTAGTCAGAAAGAAGCCACTCGTGCAAAATAGTCATTCATGGTCAACCAGAAAAGTCAGTACGTATTTAGGTCAAATTTTGCGTGAATTTTGGGACATCCTTTTTTATAAACTTTGCCATATTCGCAATGCTTCTTTCTCCCCTAGCCACTGGAACCAACATGGGAGCCGGGTATAGTATAGTAAATATACACGTTTAGTATTTTATAGTATACTTTATCTGAAGTCACTTGAAACACTGTGAAATACCGGGTGCGTTTTATATATCTATATTTAACACGCTCTGTTGCTGCAAAAATCGCCAAATTTCGCAGCAAATATCCCCCGTATAAGATCAAAGGCAGTTTCACCGGTCCACGTGGAGTAAAGCACGCCTATGCGTGAACATAGCCAATGAGAAAGCGTGTATTTCAGAGCTCCGAACAAGTGCAGGTGGCTACTGAAAATTGAAACAGTTTAGCCAGTGCCGTGTAGCGGTGAATAAACGTGTTTTCTTTAGTCTGTCCGTGTTTTTTCATAGATTTTATTAGTTTGTGTGTTTTTGACTTTTGAATACTCAGTTTACTTGTTGATTTAATTGTTGTGTTGATTGTTCTTGTGTGTCCTAAATATGGCTCTTTGGAGACCTTGGGAAAATGCTCCAAGCCACGAGGAGATGGTTGATGAACCTGTGCAGGCAGAATTCTTTCATAAAGATTTAGAGGAACAGACCCAAAGAGTAATCCTAAATATGTATGATTGTCTGAAAAACGAAAATCCAGATTTCTCGCAAAATCAAATTTTAAACAGAATTTGTATCCTGACAAAAATCCGTCGGTCTACCATTTATCGGGTTATAAAAAGGGGAGATGTAGTCAAACATTCCTTCCACAGAAAGCGCATAGGGCAAAAATTAAAAAGAATAGACGTGGGTTTTCAGGAAGATATTCGTCGTATAATATACGGATTTTATAAAGAAAATTTGGTGCCCACGTTGGAAATGATACGGGATAAATTAAAAGATTATCCTGAAGATTTTTATAATTACAAATGCTTAGACTCACTGCACTGTATTGTAAAACTGTGTGGTTTTCAATACAAAAAATTAGATAAAAGAATGGTGATTATGGAGTCGTCTCGAATCGTTGAATTGCGCCAAGAATTTTTGCACAAAGTTAAAATCTATAGAGAGCAGAAAAGAAATCTGATTTACCTGGATGAAACGTGGTATGATACCCATGTTGTTGTGCAGTACGGCTGGGTTGACGACAGCAACAAGTGCATTTTAAATGCACCATGCAACCGTGGAAAACGAATCATTATTCTCCATGCTGGCAGTGAAAATGGATTTATACCTAATGCCTTGCTGTTATCTGCCAAAAATATCAAAGAATCATGTGCCGACTATCATGAGGACATGACCTCCGACTTATTTGAAAAGTGGATAGAGCAGCAGTTAATACCAAACATTTCCCCAAATTCAGTGATTATTATGGACAATGCGCCATACCATTCCCGACAGAAAAACAAAATTCCGAATACAGGCACAAAAAACAAGACATTGATTTTATGAAGGATAAGGGAATGGAAATACCACAAAAATCAACCAAAGCCATATTATTGGATCTTATTAAAAGACAAAAATTTGAAAAAGAGTATGTTTTTGACAATCTGCTTCAGCAAAATGGCCATGAAGTATTACGTCTACCTCCCTATTACTGCATTTTTAACCCGATTGAGTTGGTCTGGGCTGCTTTAAAAAAAAGTAAGAAAACATAATCAGACCCCTCAATTAAGTGAATCGCTATTGGCCACAATAAGAGATGCAGTATCTCATATTGCTGCCACAGACCTATGGAAGCAGTGTTCTAGGCATATTATTGAAAAAGAAAATGAATATTGTGTTTTGCCTCCTGTAAATCCCGTTGTAATTCCTCTGCAAGATGACTCTAGCGACAGCTCCGAAGGCGAGGATGATATATAAATACCTATAATGTAAGTCTTTATATACCCTTTTTATATACCTACCTGCTATGTAAATATTTGCCTATGTCAAACGTTGGAATTCTGTAATTTTTCCATTTCTTAACTTTCAGTCAACATAAATTAAACTCCCAATATAAGTATTTTTTATCCCAAATCAAAAAAATAAGAAGATAGTAAAATCCATTTATTGTGATATAAAAACATTATTATTATCGTTCTAAATAAATGACCGCACGCCTATGATACGTCATGAAATTACAAAGGACGCGCCGACCAAAGGTTTTTATGCTATTTCAAGTGACTTCAGATAAAGTATACCTTAGTCCATCTTGAAAATGTTTCGTACTTCTATGACCATATTGTCCTGACGGCGCCCATGGACGTACCTAGAGACTGCCCTATCGTAAAGCTTGCAAATAAACAGACCTGTAAAAACGTCCACAGGGGCGTAACAAGAAGGCTGTGTTTTATAAGTGTCAGAGTCAACAAATATCTATCTAAAGTGTATCTAACGAAGCTACAAAGTAATCGTAAACAGTGGTTGATTCGTGATCAACGCGTGATCGGTAGCCATGGCGCTCTGTCGGCCTCTTCATGATTGGCTTGTAGCGACGAGCCTCCAGACAAAGTCGCACGGTTGCCACGCTCGGCGAGTTTTCGCCAGAGTGGTTGATCACATTCGCATGGATCACAAATCAATCTGTTGGTGCAATAACTGTTGTAAAGTACATTATATAATAAATATAATATAAAATAAATGGCATCACAAAGGTATATTCCAATTTGATCTGCAGCAAATTATGAACGGCATATACGGAGATGCGAAAACAAGCTCAAAAAAAAATTTTTCCTAAGTGATAGCATCAGTGAGGGATTTTTTTTCTATTGTCTTATTTTTCACATTAATGCGATGTCGAGGTATGTGGCCCTATCGCAATTGAAAATAAGGTTTCGATAATCCTTCCATAAAGTTTCGATGAGTACATCTGAAATAACCTTGAGATATTCTTCAGGGAAATACAAAAATCTCCTTTTGTGTTTTTTTGTGCAGATTTATCTATTAAAATCCTATCCGCAATCTATTTTCCGTGCACACACCTTCAACCGAATGTATGCCATATATGATATTACCGTTTCCAACTTTCACCAAGGTTAATAGAAACCATAACAGCTCCCTACCCTTCCCCCCTATAAGAATATCGATTTGTAGCCTCACATTTCAAGGTTAGACTTCTTGTAATGTTTCTGTTCAACATTCGGCGATTTCTGACAATTTTCCCAATAAAACATGATCATTGTGACATTAAGCCTGGCAACGCTGCATAGTAGAGGGAACTCTCAGCGTCACGTTGATGGTTCGTCACCACGCACAGGATTGTAATCAGTTACGGATACCCGTTTATGAGCGCGAACGTTTTATGCACGTCTTGACTTGATTTTTCTTGCGGAAATTTAATATTAGTCTAAAATGTCTGACACAGATACAGCTGATGAAGTGGTTGAAATCAGCTTAACGTCACCCAGAAAAAGGGCTAAAAAGCTTCATCTTAGCGCAGGTGAAAAACAAATTATTCTAAATATCTACAAGAACCAGATGCAAGAGAATAGTGGATTGGCTATAGAAAATATCGTATGTAAGGTTGCTGAAATTTCTGGAGTAGGTCGATCAAGTGTTTACAAAATCTTGAAGGAATATAGACAAAATCACTCACTATCTGAGCCAAAAACATATCCAGCGAGAAAAAAAATCATCGAAAAAATAGATGACTTTGACAAAAGTGCCATTAGAAGAAAAGTACATCACTTTTTCATCAGGAATGAAATACCTACAATAGATAAAATATTGAAGCAAGTGAATGATGATGAGGACCTGCCAAATTTTAAAAGATCTACGTTCCATAAGCTGTTGAAAGAATTAGACTTTCGATTTTTGAAAAGAGGAAGGAATAGTTTATTGATAGAAAAGGAGGAAATTGTTATCTGGAGGAGAGAATACCTTAGAAAAATTAGGCAATTCCGCGCTGAAGGAAGAAAAATTTATTATTTAGACGAAACATGGGTGAACGCGGGGCATACGCAGGGAAAGGTTTGGATAGACAGATCTGTGAGGTCCTCAAGGCAGGCTTTTTTAGATGGCCTTTCGACGGGATTGAAAAATCCTGCAGGTAAGTTTCGAAGTATATGAACTTTTTTGGATGCAGATAATTCATTTTCTGATCGAATCAATGATTTGGAAGCTCCGAACTCAGTTTTGCTATCTCATCCAAGTTTCTGAGTATTTCCTTCACCCAAAAACTAATCTAAGACCCTATCCTACACTAACCTAAAAAGAGTAAGTTGCTTAATTTCGTCATTTAGTGCGCTCGCTGAGAAGTAAAATAACTAATTACTTTCAGGCAAGGGAAAACGCCTGATCATTTGCCACATAGGTAGCGTAGATGGATTTGTTCCTGAAGCATTGTGGGCATTTGAATCCAAAAAAACTGGAGACTATCACGAAGAAATGGATGGTAACTCATTTGAAAATTGGTTCAAAAAAATTTTGCCGACACTTGATGATAACGCAATTATTGTGATGGTTAATGCCCCGTACCACTCCAGAAAATTGGAAAAAATTCCAACAATGGCCACCAAAAAGGCAGACATTCAACAGTGGCTTGTCTCAAAGAAGATCGACTTCGACCAAACAATGGTCAAAGCTGAGCTGATAAATATAGTCAAGCGACATAAGTATAAATATGATTTAAAAATTGTTGACGAAATGGCCAAAAACCAAAATAAAACGATTCTCAGGCTGCCTCCCTATCACTGCGAACTGAATCCTATCGAGTTGATTTGGGCCGACATCAAGCAATACGTGGCGTCAAATAACAGCACTTTTAAGTTTTCTGACCTTAAAAAACTGTTTGATGTTGCTGTCGATAGAATTACGCCAGCAAAATGGAGAACATGTATTGACCATGTCCAAGGTTGAAACCAAAATGTGGGATATGGACAATATCATTGACACCCAAGTTGAACCCCTTATAATTGACATCAACAATGCTGATGATTCAAGCTCCTCGGAATACAGCATATAAATCGATTGATACCATTAAGACTGGCAGTTTAACGGGCTTTTTGGCAAGACAGGTAAGTTCATTATAGACTGCAATCAAAGTGTAAGTTTCTAGTTATTAATGTGGAAATTCCAAATTTATAATTACACAAAATTAGGGTTAATTTAGGAGTTCCAAAGCATAATAGTGCCATTTTGACCTTCTTCCTATTTCTCATGTAAATTTTAATAGCAATCAAACTAACAAACTTTGTGGAGTCTGTAATAAACTTTTGTACTACTACTACTACGTCTGTAGTTTCTATTTGCTCAAAAAAATTTGCTCTGCATTGTGAATAGAAGGTTGATTTGTAAATATTATTGGGTATATATGTAAGTTAATAATAAAATATGAACAATTTCAACTCAGATGGTCCACAAGTTTTTTTCGTGTGCGTTTTAGTAACATTTTGCTGAAATGGTGAATACAGAATTTTTTGCACTGATTCCTAATGTCGAAATATGATTAGAAAGGCGTGGTATATTTCTGATAATTTACTATGCTTTTGATAGAATTTACAGCAACACATATCTTGTACGACATTTTTTGATAGATCAGTCACAATAGCTTGATACGGCCCTGTAGCGTCTCCTACGGTTAAGTTCTTCATCACGTGCAATACGGGTGTATATGTTTGATTTTACTTTGTTTCTTCGATGGATACAGTTTAAAAGACATTTAAAACATGAATTTCTTCTAACGTTGTTGTCTAAATAGGGAAGGTGGCCTTATCTCGAGGAGGGGATACATTTTTTATCCGTTATTTCAAATAAATCACGCTGCATTTTACTGTGTTGATACATTTTACAAATCACTGAAGCATAGGTTTGCTGAATATAAATGGTTCAATCAACGATGTTCGGATTATCTCGTATTTTCTAAATTTTTCTGGAGAAACTATATATGTATGTATCAGCTAACCCGAGGAGTCGATTTGCCTGTCCTATCTAAAGAAAATACTGCTTTCTATTACTCTGAATGAAAATGTCCAAAAAAGTGTTTGGGTTTCTAGAATAACGAACAACAGACAGTTGTGACTTCATCAGCATATCCTGATTCTTCTATTGGCTACTCAATTTTTCACAAATATCCATTACGGTAGAATCACATATCCACAAGTACATACATACATATATCATGTGGGATCCGTCAACGCCACGCAGACAGATCCGTATTTTGTTCGTACGCTACAGATTCATTTTGTTCTTGCTAACAACTCCTTTATTTAGAAAAGTTCCTTCGCATATAAAAAAACGCTAACGCAAAATGACTGCCAATGATCATGACTACATTTTTAGTCAGGTATTCATAAAATAAGATAAACGGTTTTTGATTTTGTTAAATCATATCTACTTTTTAGAAATTGAACCACCATATGATTTTAAAGACCAATGAAGCAGCTATACAATTAATTCAGAATGTGTGGCAGAATATGCCCGAATTGGTAGAGGTTCAATTCCCTGAATTAGGTCATAACATTACCTAGGTAATTTTAACAAGTTAGACATTAGTAAAATGTAAGTATAATGTACAACAATTGCACGAAGTCATAAAATGTACTCAACTAGGACAATGCAGTGTTCGTGAAAGTCGTGTCTGTAACTATTCAATCTTCCGTTTGATGTAATATGCATGATCAATTCCTTTTACATCAGTTATCTTTTAAACAAGCTGTATTGATTATTAATTTTCATGATAGGATCTGCACATACTTAACCTGTATTTGAATTACCTTACACGTGATATTATTTTTACAGGTAAAATTACAGCTAGTGGAAAGGACAATGCAGCCTGTTCTATATTGCCTTACCTTGTAATCAATAAATCCCAGATATACTATAATCATTTTCCAATAAACATCTTTTATCTGTCCTTCGTACATTTTATTCTCAAAAGTCCCAATCACTTAAAAGTATCCACATACGAATACGGTCCTGAAATTCATTCTTGCCAAAGCTACAGACTTACAAATATGTATGTCACTTTTGTACACCTCAGTAGACGTCAAAGCGTAATGGATATTCCTGAAAAATACATCAACAGAATAAAACTAACCTAGTTTTTCTTGCTTGTTCTTCTGTATAGTGCATTTCCGTCGACAGTTCCGAAGTCGACACCGATATACCTTCCTCACAAGCCCCACGTGCTGGAGGAATTTTAGAAGATCCTCGTTCTCCATACTCATGATTCGCATCACGTGACGGAATTTTTCTACTTGAACTGTCATCTTTTCACTCAATTTTAATATCGGCCAATGTATTAAATTAATATTCACATTACCGCAGAAATGTTGAGACCTGAAAGACGAAGCACTTCTGATTCTAAACGCACGTAAAGTTTGGAAAGAACTGGAAAACGTTCGCCAGTACTGTAAGTTCATGTGTCAGTTGATATTATTATTATTACTCCAGGCTGTACAGGTAGTACTGGTATAAAGTCCGGTATAAGTCGGTATAGTAGGGAGGCATACTCGTTCGCCATGTTGTTTCCAATCAAGGGTATATGGACCGTCGGTCGACCCTACAATTGTAGGGCGCGTTTATGGCCTCCTTGATTGTCATACTGCTTTCTCTCCTTCAAAAATTTCTAGATTACACTTGTCCCATGTCAGCGTTAGCGCTCTCCTATTGTAAAGATTTGTTTTCCTTTTAAGTTGTAGGAAATTTCAGGCTGATAAAACATGATATAACTCAAAACCAAGCACAATTTGATGCAAATTGATGTTTGTGACATAACCTCAAAATAGAGCGCTAACACGGAGAAGTAGAAAACTATGACTATCAAGGAGTCCATAAAGGCGCCTAAGGCCCGTATCGTCAGTCGTCCCTACAATTGTACTCTATTTTGAGGTTATGTCACAAACATCTATTTGCATTAAATTTGAAATTTCCTACAATTTAAAAAGAAAACATATCTTCACAATAGGAGAGCGCTGACGCTAACACGGGACAAGTGTAATCTAGACATTTTTGAAGGAGGGAAAGGAGTATGACAATCAAGGAGGCCATAAACGCGCCCTACAATTGTAGGGACGACTGACGATACGGGCCTTAGAGCCAGCTTAAGTTGCCATATTTGCAATGCTTCCGTCCCTCTAACGACTGTAAAGAACATGGCGGCCGAATATACACTCTTTTATAGTAATATAACTTGTCTCGCACAGATCTGGGGTCTGGGGCCATTTGAAAGTAACATTACCAATACCATTATGTTTTATTACAATTTTATTTTTGAGGAATGAACCATATATATAGTGGATACCAAATAAAACCCGATGCACGTCATCGATCTGGAGCTGTGCGCTGTTGCCAGAATTTGCACATTTTCTTTTAAGCAAATAAATTTAATAAAATAAATTGTTTATAAATACCTACCATTTACTATAATACCATTATATTAAAAATAAATAAACTTGTTGGAAAATTAAATTCCTTTCTGAATAAAAACACCTGATTTTGGTAGATATTCAATGATATGAGCTCTTTACACCGACTGTTAAGTTGTTTTGGCATTTTGGATACTTTACACCACTTCACAGTAACTGTTGTTCTGAAAAGAACAATTTTTAATTGGCAAGGCAACGATTCAAAGCTCAAATAGCGCAAAACTCACAAACTAAACAATAAAGAACTAATAGTACGACAAAAGGACAATGGCAACTGATGTCAACAAATGAGAAGTGGCAACCTCACATTTCTCTGCACGGCACTACCAACCGAATCGAGACGGGGAAATTTAAACTTCAAGTAGAAATGTCACATTGAATGTAGTCAACTGTTGGTAACCATGATTTTTATGAATGACATCACCTATGACGTGCATCGGATTTTATTTGGTATCCACTATATGTACTCTTTCATCCCTGTTGAAAATGTTTCGTTCTCCTATCATGATATTTTACTGTCGCGCCCATGGATATACCTAGAGACTTAGCAAGAGATCCTAAAACTGACAAATAAAATTCCTGGAAAAATGCCATCAGGGGCGTAACAAGAAGGCTCACTTTTGTTGTGTTAAGTGAATCACCCTATTTTGACAATAATATGAAACATGAGTCATCAAATATCTATCTAATCCACATTTTCACCCCAATTTGTTCCAGGGTTCTTGTATAAGAAGGGAAGGAAGGTGACCTTATTTTGAGGAGCTGACAAATTCATTATCCGTTACTTTAATCAATCACGCTGTATTGTACTGTATTTTACACTCTAAGAATCACTGAGAGATAGGTTTGACGAACATGATTTGCAACCAACGATTCGCTTTCTTTTAAAATGTGTATAGTATCGTATATTTTTCGAATATCATAGCGTTCAATTACTCACAAATACAAAATATTTGAAAAACGCAACATCTGTTTTTCGCATAGAACTAATATTTATCTTTTGCTGTGGTTTGTGATTCATATCGAAAAGGTAAACACGTGTGTTTTGCTATTAAATGCTCTGTGAACGAACCCTGTATATTTCTTAATAAACTATTAGTAGTGATGGCCGGAAATCACTTGTTTTAAGATAATTAGAAATTCTCGAAAACTACTTGACCAATATAGTGCAATTTTGTTGTTGTTATTAAGAAGTATGAATCCTACCGATTTGAAGAATTTCAAGTAGTTGGGTGAAATTATCGTCGCATTACCAACAAGCGCCAAAATCTGCATTTCGCCTCGTTTTTTCGTACATAACATTTGTCTTCAGCCAGGCCAAAATGCAAATAAACCCTTCAAAACTCAAAATTCATTTTCACGAACCGAAGGAGGCTAGTTGATAATTTTATAAATCTGATGAAATCGTGAACACCTTTCTGTACGCCACTGGAACATTTAAGGAGTCATTATTTGTTTATCTAATGGTAATGACATTTATTGACAAATTGTCATACATGACAACAATAACAAATGAATTGTTAGGCGTTTCGTTGCTCATTTTTTACTGTAAAGTCGGTTGATTTTTCCAAAATCATAAAGATACAGTATTTCGATTAATTACATATTACTTTGGATGTCTCCAATCAATCCAAAACGTAAATAAACATCACACACTCAAGAGAAACAACTTCAGGAATCGAGGGAGGTTAGGATGCTTCAACTTACCTAAACGGGGACCACGTTTGGCGGTTATCTCGCCGAAATAAGCCGACTTGGAGGACAAAACACACGAGAACACTCCCCGAACAGGCTCGAAAGTTCGGCCCATACACAAAAAACCCACCGAAATGAGTAATCAACGTTACTAATTTTTCCAGTGTGCATCCGGCCGCGTTGTAACTGCACGTACAGGCAACCGACGGCGCGACGGAGAGAGAACGAGAGAAGAGAAGCGAGAATGAAAGCCTTTGGACGTTTACGGGGGGTTCCGTGCACAGCGGGAGGGGGGTTGGCAAAGCAATCGGACTGACACCAAGCCTAGGTCCGGCCATCTTGTGACGGCAAACGTTGGTCTTGTCCTCGAAACACCCCCGAAATCGTTAAAAACGCGGTAATTGCGCCTAGAAAAAAATAACAAACTGCCGCGGACGGCATCCCAAAGGTGTACTGACGTCTCACACATGTGCACATACCGCAAATCTCATTAAAATAAATCAGTCTCGGTTTAATTGTTCTCAGTGATACGTTTTTGTGAGCAAGTTTACTTCGGCACTGGATTTTGTATGGATTACTGCCTATATTCTTCCAAGTAAGTATTTACACTACAAACACTACCTATTTACATCAATTATTCCTTTTGATTCATTCAATTGTATAATTAGCTATCTACTTTAACGTATTATAAATCGTGCATTCAACTAAAATATACACTTTTTGTTTAATCACAACATTAACCTTTTAAACCTCTCATGCGGAAGAATTTTCATTACTTCTAAATGAAGCTAGTTAAATAATACATTTCCATTGTCTCACGAAAGTTTACATGTCAACAATTCGCCTGTACGAATTTGTTTATTTACAAAACATTAAACATTTACAAATCTTTCGCATACAAGAAACGCTTGATGAGCCAACAAATTTGTGATAATCATGTTATTTCACATGAATACAAGCTATTAACATACTTTTCTTCGAGCACAATCGCAGGAATAACAATAATAACGCATCTCGAGTAACAGCTGCATATATTTACGGATGATGTAGCGGTACATTTTGGAAGGCATTACAAAGCAGCATTCTTTTTAACCGTAGCTTTCGTTCATTTTAATGTTTTCTATATACTTCTCGGATGCTACGTTCCGAACGTGTACAAAGAAACACACCGTTTAGTAGTTTATTTTATAGTCGGAGAGTTGGGTGTAATTTCTCTATAATTTTCCGGTTTTAATGTGCTTTTTCGCGTTAATGTGGTATTTTTGTGAGCTTTCTATCGACGGATACAAACAGGAAGAGTAAGGTTAGATGATAAGATAAAGATTGATTTCTTATTCCTTTGTGAATCAATTAAGACGAGTACGTTTTAAATATCTCTATGCCGATCAAGGTCTTTGAACCTAGTCGTGGAACTATTTTTACGCATTACGAAAATCTTATTGAATTTACCTGTTTTGCTACTTGATTAGATGTTGATATTTAGGCAACATATAATGTCCTCATAAATGTTATATATATCGTTTTTATGTGACATTTAGATTGTGCCAGACTAGGATAAGAAAGAAAATCGATATAAAGTGAAAGTATTTTTCCAAATTTATTTGCATTATCCGTTTTTCGATTAAATTTCCTGATAAAAACCAGAAGACTGTGAGAAAGGCTACAAATTTGATCCTTTCTATGAAAGATGAGATAAGGTATTATAAAAATTAAGTGAGCTGAATATGTGTATCTTATAAACACTTAAATATATGTGCTTAGGTAAGTATGAATATGAAATATATAGCCACTTTTATTTTTAGATATGGTTCCATTAAACCTTGTCAACTGAGTTTATAATATTCTGATATTCTATAGTTGACATAACTATACCCTATTCCTAGTCCATTTATGCCCTGGCATAACAAAGATGCAGCACACCTAAGCCTTGAAATAGCTATTGGCCATTCGGCTATAAAACTACGAACAAGTGCAGGATTCGACAGGATAGAACTCAGGCTTGGGCAGCAGATGAAACTGAGAATATTTCTCCCAATGCCTTCAGCCATGCTTCCTCTTCAGTGATGTCTACTCCCCGAAAACGTGACAAGAAGGGACATTTGAATATTCAGTCAAGAGAAATTGGCCGGAACGTTTTTAAAAGCGAAATTTTAGAGCATCCTGAAATGAAAATTCATGATATTGAAAGACGTGTGGCGATCAAAACAAGACAATTTTCAACATGGTTGAAGAATATAAAAAAAACAAAAACAAGAGGCTGCATTATACGAAGCTTTGATTGGAATGCCATCAGACGCAGTCCATCAATTTTTTTAAAGGCAGGAACTTCCCACCATAGACAAAGTATTACAGTAGGTTAATAGTGATGAAGACTTACCTACTTTCAAAAGGACCACATTCTATAGTTTACTCAAAGAACTTCATTTTCAGTATAGAAAGGCAGAAATAGTATTCTAATGGACATCCAAGAGATTATTTTATGGAGAATCAATAAAGAAGTACCGCGACCAGGGCTGGAAGATTTATTACTTGGATGAAGCCTGGATAAATGCAAGACATTCAAAACCTAAAGTATGGGCTAACTCTACAATTAAATCAGCAAGAGAGGCCTTCTTATACTGTTTATTCTATATGTCAATTATATCTCCAATGTCCTTAGCAATTCTTTTATAAATTTGTCTGCGGATGATACATTAATTTCAGTTAGTGGTTCAGTAAGTAACGAAATTGTTGATGTAATGAATAGTGAAATGAGCAAACTTAGTTTATGGTTAAAAACAAACAAGATTAAATTAAATGTGAGAAAAACGAAATGTATCATTATAGGTTTGAAGAATAATTGCAAGAAATTGTAGGATTTAAATATGCCAGGGAAAATTGAGGGAGAGATACTTGATTTTGTAGATAGTAGAAGTATTTAGGTATTATAATAGATCAGCCACTAACTGTCAACATGTTGACTATATGTGTCGGGAATTAGGCAAAAAGATCGGGTATTTTCGTAGAATTTTTGAGAATCCAAGTCCCTGGTGCACAATATAATAATTTTTCCTCATTTTACTTATTGTGCATCACTTTTGATCACATGCACAAATGAGCAAAAGCAAAGGTTGCCAATTCTATTAAATGAATGTGTGCGGATTTTGTTAAATTGTAGCAGGTATACCCATATACAGGATATGCTAAAGGCATTAAATTTTTTAAACATATACCAAATTATCGAAGAGGCAAATTTAATACTTTTATATAAAATTATCAATAATCAGGCTCAACCTTATCTTGAACAGTTTCTAAAAAAAAGATGTGAAATGCAAGGTTACGATATTAGATCAAAAGAAAATATACAAAGATTTAGATTTAAAGGTTTAGAAAAGTCAATGTTTGTTGAAGGTCAACAATTTGCCTATTAATGTAAAAACATCTAGTAATGCTAAAATTTTTAAAAAGAGACTTCGGAGAGACTATTTTGGTTCGATGTGACGACCTTTTTGTAAATTTATCATATTTTTGTAAATAATATTTATTATAATAAATCCTTTCTATCTATCTATCTTAGATGAACTAACCACTGGCCTAAAGAATCCGTCAGGTACGTGTATCTAACCAATTCGTCATTTGTGTTGAAAATATGGTGTAAGGTAGACTGAATCTATGAGTCTACGCTGAAAACTTAGCTACACTCAACTTAGCTTTATCAGGTGGATTTGGATTCAACACCTGCTAGATACTCTACTTGTATTACTATTAGTTCTCTTGAATACTATATGAAATAATTATTTCCAGGAAAAGGAAAACGATTTGTTATCTGTCACATTGGCAGTGAAGATGGCTTTGTGCCCACTGCCCTATGGGCATTTGTGTCAAAGGAAACTACCTAATACCATGAAGAAATGGACGGGAGTTCATTTGAACGATGGTTTGAAGAAACGCTCCCAAAGCTTGACGACAATGCCGTCATTGTACTTGATAATGCTGCATACCACACTAGAAAATTAGAGAAAAAATTCCCACAATGTCCACAAGGAAGGCAGACATTCAACAATAGCTCCTATCTAAAGACATTAGTTTCAATGAAAATATGGTCAAAGCAGAACTTATCCATCTAGTCAGGCAGCAAAAATATAAATATAATCTTAATGTTATCAGCAAAATGGCTAAAAACCAAAATAAGACCGTTTGTATGTGCATTTCTTTCTATAAAAATAATCATTTATTTTGTTAGATTTTTCCAAGACCATTAAGGAAAATATGCACCTGTACAATCTCGCATGTTGTGTTTTGCCTTTGGCGTAAATGGACTACGAATTGGGTATAAGCTCAAGCTCTAACCTTATGGGTGTTTAGGTTTTTAATTCATTCACTTTTAGCAGAAAATACATTCATCAAATCCAATACTGTTGTCCATTCCAGGGCTTTATAATAATAGGCTTGTTGATAAGGATTGTCTTCAAGTCAGCTCAGGTTCTGACATAGCTTGTGATTGAGATTGTGATTACATCACATTATTATTTTAATTGTAGGAAAATACTATTTGCACAAAAACCAGCTTTTTTTAAAAGTTGAAGTGATGCTAAAATAATACCTAATACTTATAATACCTTGTTTTATCTACATATGTCTTCTACATGTGAATTGTGGTATATACACTGCTAGGAAAACTGCTTAATTATATAATAAAAGTGAAATTGCTTTCTAGTAGCATAAACAATAATATAAATAAACATCCATGATCATGTGCTAAAGAAGTAGTGAAAGATGATAGTACCTCTTATTTGAGCTTTCCTTGTACAATACACTACGGTGATAAGGAATACTACTATCCACTATACTACTAGAGAAACAAAACTCCAAGTTTCGTAGTATTCAAAAAGTTATTTTTAAGGATCAAACATCTTATTTTGTTGATGTATATTTCTGCTTATCACTGGTAATTGCATCTAGCACATTTTTAGATCTAGAGTAATTAATTATAACACACTCCATAATGTGTAAGACTTGTTTAAAAAATGAGGTGATGATGTTTGATAACAAAACACTGATTCATTATAATAAAGATATTGAGTCATGGATGGATCACCCCCATATGTATCCGAAATTCATTAGTTCGGGCGATATTTCCACCTTTGTGGAATTTCAGGAAAAAATTCCAAACTACCAGGTATACAGCTGTTATTTTTTAGTACTTAGTGGTTTGGTTCAATAGTTGGTCTTATTAATATTATTTGAAGTTTTGCTGGACCTGTTATCACCTCAGCTTCCACGGGCTGACAACAAACAACTCACTGCATCATTTCTTCTAGAATCTTAAGAAAATGCTTCTAAGGTCCATCAACCCTGCAAATTTCATCATATCAAAAATTGCAACTCAGTTGTACAATCACAATCTGGGCCACCAACCAGACTTGACAGATTCCTAGGAAACACCAACTGACAGTGCATCTCTGACTTGAAGTCTAAGCTTCTGTGGACTGGACCGTCTTGAAAATAAATTACGAATATATTCGATACAGTTCCATCTGATTGGTGAAACCTGTAACTAACCCT